GTAAGTAACCAGTTTTATTGCTTTCTGGTTCATCCTTTTTGCATTTCTTTTTATAAAGATAAGAGAGATATGTTTCTCAACCTAGGTGTCCATCAACTGAAGAATGGATAACCAAACTATGTACATACACACAATGAAATACTATGCAACCCTAAAGAATAACGTAGAATCTGCAAAATAGTGCATAACGTGGATGAACTTGGAGGACATTATGCTGAGTGAAATAAGTCAATCACAGAATGACAAATATCGTATTAGTCCATTATTGTGAAAGTCAAGGAAAGGTTTATATATGGAAGGAAATTTTCTTTGTTGGTTACCAGGCATGGGAGGGGAGTAGAGGGAACACTGTTAGATAGGTAGAGATAAGTATTGATTTGGGTGAAGAGAAGGGCAGTGTACCAAATGTGATCAACACGGTGGCACTGAGGAAGAGGAAGACATAGAGAGGTACATGGGAGGTACAGACAACAGAGATGAACCCTTTTGTATATACAGTACTGCATTGTCAGTGAAGGCAAACATGGGTATACGGGTGGATAGATGGGTGGACAGACTGAACTATTAGGTATGTCTGTGCAGCAGGGAGTGTACTCAAGACCATGTATAGAGTTGGCAGACAATGGTTCTACGAGTGTATTTGTATGTCCTGTAAGAATTCCCAGGTGTATAGTAGATCTGACATGGGACAAGGTTGTAGTCACTTCTTGGTCACAGCCAGCTACCCAGAGGGAGCAAAATAGTTGAACCTGTGGGCTTGGGACCGTAGTCGTAGGGGACATCAAGCTCAATTGATATAACATACTACACAAAACATTGTTCTACCCCCTACTTTGGCGAGTAGCGACTAGGATCTTAAAAGCTTGCAAGCTGCCATCTAGATGCAACAGTGGGTCTCTCCTCATCCAGAGCAAAGAAGAATGAAGAAAACCAAAGATTAATGGAAGAATTAGTCCTGGTGACTGGTACAGCATGCAATCTGCAGCCTACATGACTATGAGACCAGAAGAACTAGATGGTGCCTGGCTACCACTGTCAACTTGGAGGGAGATCTGTGTAGGAGATCCTGGATAGAGAGGGAGAACAATGTGGAACAAAACTCAAAATCATTTGGAAGAAAAAAAAGGGGGGGGGGACCAGGTTTGCTGGTCTGCTAGAGCCTGGTGGAACCACTGAGACTATGGCCTCTAGCTGCCCTTCAGGTCTGGAATTGAACCCACACCTGTGGCTTACAGCCAAACAAAAGACAGGCATATGAGTTGAACATTACCTGAAGTAGATACACTCCTTGGAGAGAACAGTCATGGGAGAAAGAGGGGCTGCTTATGCACAGGGAGACAGCTCAGGGGGCAGGAGTGCATGGAGGGATGGACACACAGAAGAGGTGACTATCGGGAGGAAGTGGGAGGGGAGCTGTTGCATTGGGGTAAATTGCAGTCAGTGTCATGAGACAGTGTACGTAAACTGCTGTACAGAAACTGAATTTGCTCTGTAAACTTTCACCCAAATCACAATTAAAAAAAAAAGAGAGAGAGAGATGTTTCTTATTTTTTCTTTTTCTGGTGCATGAAAGATGGCATGTTGTAGATGCTCTTTATGCTTTGAGTTTGTTACTTAACACTGTATACTGGAACCCATTCTAACTCAGATCATAGAGACATTCCCCTCTCCTTTTTACAGCTGCATAGTACTCTAACACGTGTATGTAGCCTACTTTATTTATTGGACCGTCTCCTATACTGGGGCATTTAGGTAGTTTATATAATATTTTGCAATTATAAATAATGCTTTGGTGGATAATCTTCTGCATATGCTGTTTTGAAATGTTGGTAGCTTATCTTCAGAATAAATTCCAAGAAGTCAGGTATGCTAGGTCAAAGGTTAAATGCATACGTAGTTTTGAAGAGAATGCTAAATTCTGTCAGCAGTGTATGAGAGTGCCAGTTTCCCCATAGCTTCACTAATAGAGTGTATTGTTAGGCTTTCATAGTTTTGCCAATCTGATGGGAGAGAAATAGTTTCTCCTTGTAGTTTTAATTTGAACTTCTCTTATTAAGAGAGAGGCTAAACATCTTTACATATTTTTAAGGACCATTTACTATCTCTTTTTGTGAATTATATGCTCATATCTTTTGCCAATTATCTATAGATTTTTGGTCTTTGGTTTCCTCAGTTATTTCACGTTTTTTGTTTACCAGGGATATTTCCCCTTCATCTGTAAAATACATTAACCAGTATTTCTCCCAGTTTGCCACTTGTCCCTTGATTTGCTTATGGTGTTTTGTCATGCAAAAGTTTTCTTTTCAGTTCTGAAAATGTTATTTAAGATTTATTTCCATGTAGTCAAATTTATCACTCTTTCATTTGATTGCATTTGACTTTTGAGTGATAGTAAGAAAGACTTCCCCTTTATAGAGGATTTTACTCATGTTCTGTTCTGGTTCATGTATAGTTGTGTTTTTTACATTTAGGTCTCTGATCCATTGGAGTTTCTTATTGTATATGGTGTGAGAAATGAATCCAATTTTATCATTTTCCAATAACTATCCCAGTGTCCCAAAATGTTTTATTTAAAAGGCCATCTTTGCCCCAGTGATTTGAGATACCATCTTTACCATATCCTAAAGTTCCATGTGTACTTGGGTCTGTTTCTGGGCTTTCTATTCTGTTCTGTCTGTCCATTCGTACACCAGTACTGCATCCTATTTCAAATCTAAAGGTTCTGCAGGATGTACAAGGCTACCCCCAGCTCTTTATTTTCAGTGGTTTCCTATCTGTTTTTGCATGTTTATTTTTATGAACTTTAACATGAACTTGTCTACTTCATAAAAAATCTTAGTGGCATTTTTATTGAGATCATATTAAATTTATCAGTTAATTTAGGGGAGTACTGACATCTTGATGGTGTTGAGACATATTAACCAAGAACTAGGGATATCTTTTTTTGTTATGTTCAAGTCTTTGCATCTTTCCAGTATGCATTACAGTATTTCTGTGTTTTGAATATGCAGTTTTTAAAATGCTTATTCCTAAGTATTTTACTTATTATTATTATTATTGGTGTTATAAAATGGTTTTCTCATCTATAATATGTTCTTTCTGGTTGATGTATACAAGTATTATTGTTTTTGCATGTTAATTCTATATCCTACAACCTTGTTGAATTATTTTATTGAGTTAGTTTTATCATTGATTCTCTAGGGGTTTCCAGGTATACTATCATGCCATCTGTAAATAAAGGTAGTTTTCTTTTCTTTTCCACTTTTTATTCCTCTAATTTCTTTCTTTTATCTAAATGCTTTGGCGGATAGCTCCAGAATAATGATAATGGATATAGTGGGTATTCTTGCTTTGTTTCTGACCTTCATGGGAATGCCTTTGGGGTTTTTCCATTAACAAAGATGCTGGCATTAGGACTGAGGTGTATATATTTACTATATTAATGCAGTATCTATCCATTTCTGTTTTCTCAAGAAGCTTTATTAGGGTTGTATATTGGATTTTCCAAAGGCTTTTTAGAATCCATTGATATAATTATGTGGATTTTTTTTCTTAGGCTCATTAACATGGTGAATTACATAAATTTATTTTCTAATATTGAACCATCTTTGCATTCTTTGTATAAATCCCATTCAACATGGTTTATTAGTTTCTTAATGTAGAATTGGGGTCTGTTTTCTAGTATTTTACTTGGAAATTTTGCATCAATATTCATAAGTGAGTTTGGTTTATGATTTTTCTTTTCATGTGTATCCCATCTTTATTACGTTTAAAGAACATAAAAAGTTTTTTCATGAAAAGACCTGGAGTATTTTTCCTTTATTTTCTATGCTCTGAAACAGTATATAGGATTTGGGACCATCTGATTGTTGGGAGACAATTCTCCAGTCTCCATGCGTCTTTGCATTTCTGCATCTCTTGCAAGTTAGGCACTAACTGCCCTCTGTTCCCTACTACCCCAACTTTGCTCCTTTGTGTAGGTAAGATATCTTCCACCCCTGGAAGATACAGCATCCCCCTCCAGAGTAAAGCCAGCCCTGCAGCTCTGGAAGATACAGATTGTGCTTCCTCTGGAGTAAAGGGTAGGCATGCTTACTGTGCAGTGTGATAAAGAGAGTGTTTCTGTTCAAAACAAGGGGCAGGCATACTTCCTGCCCATTATAAAAGAGTCACATTCCATAGCTCAGAGTTCTCCTATCAAGCCATCTACTAGGAGTGCAGCTGTTACCTGGACCTCATCGTATTGTACTGTGGGAATTAGGGCTCAGGGAACCTGTGAAAAACCAAACTCACTGCCATTGGGTCAATTCCAACTCAGAGTGACTCTATAGGACAGAGTAAAATTGCCCCATAGGGTTTCCAAGGCTGTAATCTTTGTGGAAATAGAGTGCCACTTCTTTCTCCAGCAGAGCAGCTGGTGGGTTTGAACCACTGACCTTTCCATTAGTAGCCGAGCACTTAACCACTATGCCACCAGGGGTCCTTCACATTTGGGGAACTGGCTCCCAAATGCTGATGCTTTGACTACTCCTATTGCTGTGAGTAATTAATGGTGTCTCATCTCTGACCCAGAATCTCATGTTTTCTGTGAACATCCATGAAATTGTGGCAGGCGGGTGAAAGTTTTGACACTGGTCACTTAACATTTTGGTTAAATTCTTCTGGAAACCATTTAGCCTGGTATTCTTGTGTGAAGTAGTTCCTTGATAACTTTTATTTTGTCTGTGGAAATCAGTCTGTTTAACCTTTTTATATTTACTGTGCACTTTAATAATTTTATGTTCTTATTTGCTTGGGGCAGAAGGATGGGGTCTCCTGACTGAGCTTTATTTTCACATTGTGTTTTATTTTCTGCTGGGTTGTCTTGGCTTATCTTTCATGAAGAACCACTTTTGCCACTTTGGGTAACCACAGTACCGTCTTGTGGTAAATAAGAGGGAAGGTATACTTAGAAGCTACGGTTATAATGATGAATTTCTCTCTGGTTTGTGTTCCTACAGGTGGTGGTTGTGCAAGCAATTAGTGCTCTCTGTCAGAAATACCCTCGCAAGCATGGTGTCATGATGACTTTCCTCTCCAACATGCTCCGAGATGATGTAGGTGGACAACTTTCCAGTCATTGGGAGATGCTCTCTTCAACTCCCATGATTCCCATCGAATACCACAGTGTTTTGAGCAATTTTCTTTCTGACTTAGTACGCCTCTCAAGTGCTGTGCTGCATTCTGGTTGCTCTCTTGTTACTAGACATGCTGTTGCTTTGGCTTTCCCACTTGGAGATTGAAAAAAAAAAAAACCAAGATGGTTGTTTCTTTCATAAAGGGTGGGAATGCAATTTGAATATTGTAAACATAACCCTTGGAATGTAAGCATTTCTCCAAAAAGTATCCCTAGAATGAATGGCAATTTTATCTTCCCTTTTGCCAGGGAGGCTTTGAATACAAGCGGGCCATTGTGGACTGCATCATCAGCATTGTGGAGGAGAACCCCGAGAGTAAAGAATCGGGGCTTGCCCACCTTTGTGAATTCATCGAAGACTGTGAACATACTGTTCTGGCCACTAAGATTCTCCACTTGTTGGGCAAAGAGGGCCCCAGAACACCTGTCCCCTCCAAGTATATTCGCTTCATTTTTAACAGGGTCGTCCTGGAGAACGAGGCCGTCAGAGCTGGTGAGTCTTTGGAATTCTGACGGTGATCTAGTTGCTGATGTTTTGAGATACCTAACTCAAGGGGGTCGTATTGAAGTATGAAGTTGAAAGGCCTGTTTCTTGGTGGGAACTTGGCGCCTACTTAGATCCCATGTATAGAGCTCTTCCTCTGCTCTCCAGTTTCCATCCTAGTCTCTGCCTTAGGTCCTGAGACAAAGAACCCTTGCCTTCTGGTGTGATGGGACCTAAGGCAGAGATAGGGATGGTAAGATGGCGTCAGGCACCTTTTCACAGTTAGAACCCTAAATGTCTATGTGTCTGTGAGTATTTTTAAGTGATTTTCTAAATTGGTTTTAGGTCCCCACCCTCCCACTTCCTCCTCTCTAAGGATTCCTTTCTTTAGCATACACACAGGTTCAAATCTCTCCTAGTCTTTTGCTACTGACTATCCTTTTCTACCCCTCTCAGGTAAACTTGAAGTAGCCTTTCCTAGCTGCCTTCATGAACTTGTTTTCCATTTTCTCCTCAACTCACTATGATCTAGCTTTCTTCCATAAGAAATCCTCTAAAACTGTTCTTTTAAAGATTACTTATAAGTGAATTGGAAATCAAACTAGACACTTTAGTGTTCTTATCTTGTTCATCTGTCAGTGAATTTGATGGACTATTAACTAAGCACTTCATGAAACTCTTCCCTTGACTTCTATAATAGCCTCTGTCTTTCCTCATTCCTTGGTCTTACTTTAGGGCTCCTCTTCCTAGGTCCACTCCTTAAAATTGGTTCTCCTGGACTTGTGTCTTTTCAGCATACATGTTCTTCCTGAGGAGAATCTTCAGGGCTCTATTAATATGCCATGACATTGCAGTCCACATCTCTCCTGAATTTGTATGTCCAACTACCTAGGGCACTTCACAGTCAACTTGAAGTTCAGAGGCACCCACACTGCAGCCCTCTTCTTCACCATCCACTCAGTCTGTCCCTCGGTTTTACAAACTGATCTTGTATTTAAAATCTTTGAATAATCCATAACCTGTCTTTTTATTTCTAGTCTCACTTATCTCCTGCCCTCAAACATGGGCCCCATATGTCAGTGTTTTTGAACTGTTTACTGTTCCAGCAATATACTGTGCTTTCTTCTCTGGGTTCAAGGCCTTTGTACTTGTTACAGGAGCCCTGGTGGTACAGTGGTTAAGTGCTTGGCTGCTAACCCAAAGGTTAGAAGTTCAAAGCCACCAGCCACTCTGTGGGCAAAAGATGTAACAGTCTGCTTCCGTTAAGATTTACAGCTATAAGCTAGGAAACCCTATAGGGCAGTTCTACCCTGTTGTCTAGGATCACTCTGGGTCAGACTCTACTCGATGGCAGTGGGTTTTTGGGGACTTGTTATTCTCTTTACCTCTAATACTCTTTCCCTGACTTTTCCCTCTTCTTGTTCTTTAAAATTTAGTTCAAGCACTAAGTGTCCACTCCTGTGTGTCTTCTTGTCCACTGATTATGTTCAGTTCCGTTCTCCGTGCTCATGTGGCATTCTGGATACCATTCTGCCAGGGACTTACTATGCTTCACTGTAATGATCTCTTTACTTACCTGTCTCTCTCACTAGAATGTGGCTCCTTGAGGTCAGAGCTCTGTCTGCTCTCTCTAACACCCAGCACCCAGCACGATTCCTGACAGAAAGTAGCTGAACTATACATTCTGTGGAATTAAGTGAATTTTAATTGTAGAGTCTTTTTTGTGCTTGGGTTGGTGGTTTGAGATTAGGCCTCAAGGACCTCGGTGTAAGAGGTGTGGTCAGGGCAGAGGGAAGCTCATGAAGGAAATGCATGTGGCCCTTCTTCTTCAGTGTGTGGAGGACCTTCCAACTCAGCCCTCCTGGGCCTGCAAAAGTCTGCCTTATGAATGTACCAGAGAAATAAGATCAAGGAGCACACAATAAGACAATCAGAGTTTATTCATAGTAAACATTATTTCTTTGTAACGATTATTGTTTAATCCTGAGAAATCAACATTTATGTATTTTATGCTTCATTATAGCTGCTGTGAGTGCTTTGGCTAAATTTGGGGCTCAGAATGAGAATCTTCTTCCAAGCATCCTTGTGCTCTTACAACGGTAAGTAAAAGAAAGTGTTTTGTTTTGTTAAATAAATTAGGGTTCCGTATGGCTGAATAGAGAATTCCTCATTTTACCACCTCACATGCATTGCAGGGCCTACGAGTTGGTGTAAGTTGTGGGCAAATGGCTTATTTTCCTCCTCCTCGTACTGAAGGATGATACCCATGTGCTCAGTATATGCGAGATTAGTCTTTGACTTTCTCTTGTATGATTTTGAGAAAATGACTTAAATATATCTGCCTCCATTTGCATAGAGGGAGTTAACTCCAGGGAGGTCTAGGAGCTGATCTGCTGGGGTGACCCAGGGACTTCCTGTTCAGATTGGGAAATACCAGCTTTCTGTGGCCTCTAGGACTCTCCATCTGATGAGGAAAAGACTTGCTTTAATCACCCACCTCTGTGACTGTATCTTGCCCTTGAAACAGAAAAATTACAAGGCAAAGGCTAGCTGGTTTAAATAAAACCGATTGCTGTTTGAGTAGTAACAACACTTGGAATTTGAATGCTATTCATCTCTTTAATATCCTTGGAAAATACATTATTCGCATTTCATAATTATAGAGAAGTCTACATCTTTACCAGGATCAAGTGGTTGCAGATCCAAGACTGAATACGATTCCAAACTATCTTTTTTTGTGTGTTCTTCCTAGTTATTTTTTGTCTCTCTAGTTATTTTAATGCCACTTATAAAGTGCTTCCGATTCATAATGACACAATTTCTTTAGTAATTCAGAACAGTACCCAAGATTTATGGAGGCTTTAGGATCTACTGTTGGTTATTGGCGAGTCTTTCATAAAGGTGGTATCCTTCCTAAGGCCTGGAAACCTTGGGATTCTGTGACATGCCTCTTCTCATTGCCCTGCACAGGTGTATGATGGACACAGATGATGAAGTACGGGACAGAGCCACCTTCTACCTGAATGTGTTGCAGCAGAGGCAGATGGCACTGAACGCCACCTACATCTTCAACGGTCAGTGGAAGCCGAGAGTGCAGACAGATGGGCTTTTGTTCCCTAGTGCTGTCTTGGGAGCGTAGCTCATGATTTGTGTGTGAGCTGCCTTCACTAGGCAAAATGCTTGCTTTTTATAATTGAATGTAGTTGAATTTCTAGGGGGAGACCTGTGTTCACAAGGATATTTTCTGCTTTGGCATTGGTAATTCCTGTGAAACAATCTAGCAGAGTATGTTTCTTAAATTACATAGGGGTCTAAAGAGTATCACTTTTCCTGCTTCTTCTTGCCTTCTCTTTTGAATGGGTATACCGTTTTGCCTTTTTCTCCTGCTGCTGTTGTTCCCCATGCCTCAGCTGCCCTCTTCCCTGGGAGATGCTTAATGTTTCGTTGAAAAAGTTTATGTCCTGCTCCTGTGTCTCCATGAATGAAATTACAAGATCGCTTTATAAAATAGCTTTTACCTTTATCTGTAATTATTTAAGTTATAAAGTCCGTGGTTATATTTTTTTCCTTCAGAAAGCTTAGATATAATTACAAAGCTGGGTCCTAGGGTTGGCAAGAGGTTATAATGCTGCGATTTCTCCTCATGTCACAGGTCTGACGGTCTCAGTACCAGGGATGGAAAAAGCTTTACATCAGTATACATTAGAGCCTTCAGAAACACCCTTTGACATGAGATCTATTCCTCTGGCTGTGGCTCCTGTCTTTGAGCAGAAAGGAGGTAAGGGGCATGGTCACCTTGGTGAGTTTGGTGCCAGCTGCATATGGCTGCAATGGCTATTACCGTGTTTCCAATACTTGTTTGGTTCCATTCTGTCCCTCCTCCTAGATTTTTCAGATCTGAGGGTTTTTTTTTTTTTTTTTCCTATTAAGGGTTTTTAAAAGGTTCCTGATGTTAGCATAAAGGCAAAAATATGAAATGTGACCCAGCATTTTTTTTTAAATGCTCAGTGTTGCAACGTATAGTTAATTGCCACTGTATATGCAGAACATTAATTATACTTTACCTCCTTTGTTTTCGTGAAGTTAGTAATCTCTTACGTAGTGAATTTTGCTATTGGAAGTTCATCATGAATGAATGTGTAGGGCAAGATCATAAAAAAAATATTCTCAAAGAATATCTAACTTTAAAACGTAAAAAAAAAAAAAAAAAGTGGAACACAGGACCAGAAATGAAAGAACTTATGTGTAATTTTCCACATTTTTACAGTGTATTTATTGACACCATACAAGTAATTGTCCCAGTTTGGAGTATGAGAAGATTTGTTTTATAAACTATTCCTCCTTTTAGGAGTAATTTTTTTGTACATCCTAGTCTGTTCATGGCAGATTCTGTATTTTTAGGGCCTACTTTATTATTTTACAGATTATGATCATTAAATACATTTCCGTTTGTGCCTCCTGAAAGAAAGGAGCAGAGAACCTATTGTTATGATTTAGCCCCACTCCAGTAGATATTTACTAGAAATTTCTACCCTCACCTCTCTGTGTCTGCATATTTTTTAGCTTTGTAGTGGGGTAGAAGGAGCTCTGGTAGCATAGTGCCTAAGGCACTTGACTGCTCACCAGAAGGCTGGCGGTTCAAACCCACCAGCCACTCCTCGGAAGGAAGGTTGGGCAATCCTACTTCCGTAGTGATACTGCCTCGGAAACCCAAGGAGGGGTTGCTATGAGTCGAGGCCGACTCGACGGCAAACAACAACAACAACAGTGGGGTAGAAGCTCACTTGTGTCCTTCCACCTGTCTTTGTAGAAATCACGCTTGTGACCAATAAGCCAGAGAAGTTGGCTCCTTCCAGGCAAGACATTTTCCAAGGTATGATGATTTCGTGGGTAGAAGTAATAGTCTTACATCCTAGGCATAGTAAAGATAGTGAAGTCCACTACTTTAGGTTTGATTCGTTCTCACTGAAGAAGCCTTTATATAACTGTAGAGAGAGCTTTGAGTTACTGTTGTAGGGTACGGTTGCTGGGGCTGCACAGAGTCCGTGGGACTTGCCACTTTCCCGTTTGTTAGCTCGCTGCCTGGGGATGCTGTTTGGTCTCTGTCTTGCTTGCTCACAGGGAACTCAAATTCTAAGAAATCAGGAATTGAGTTTCTTTTTTATGCTTTTGGTAATCCAGTATATAAACTCATTTGCTTAAAAGATTATTGCACTTAAGTGTGGGGACATATTAGTTGATGTCTTGATCCTAGTTGAACATTAGCTAGTAGTCAACTAGTAGTAAGGCAGTGGGAACGACTGAAAATATTTTAGGGACCTCTGTCATCTTAGTTTCTTCCTTCCTTCCTTCTTCCTTTTTCCTTGCTAGAACAATTGGCTGCCATTCCTGAGTTTATGAATCTAGGACCCTTGTTCAAGTCTTCCGAGCCTGTTCAACTTACAGAAGCAGAGACAGAATATTTTGTTCGCTGTATCAAACACATGTTTACCAATCACATTGTGTTCCAGGTGAGAGAACTGCCATAACGGGCTCTTGTATGGATTTTGTGTGCACTGGTATGCTTGGAGACAAAGATTTTCCCACTGAGTTTTTAATTCTAATTCCTTTTAGAGACAAGTAAGTTGGCAGAATTTCTAGTTCCCTTTCCTAGCTCTAGGGATCACTTCATATAACGGGTAATTTTAATGGTTAAAATCTAAAGAAGTACATAAAGCTGAAATGTATGAAAAAGTTTTGCACCATAAAGTATAAGCTATTAAAAATATAATCATCTTTTAACACCAGGGTAAATTAAGTGAGTCATTCCAAGAACTTGGGTTTCAAGTTGATCCTCAGATGCCAGCAGACTGCCGCTGTCTTGTTTGGTGGAGCTCAGTCTTAGGAAAGAGACAAAACTGATGGATGAATAAACAAACACACATTTAAAAAAAAACCTAAAAAATAAGTCTACCTCTGTAGCTTAAAGAAAAATCTTAGGAGATCTAATACGTTTTTTAGAAAGGAAGGTGTAGTGGGTTCCAGGACTGAGTCTTGGGTAATAGATGGGAAGGAGCAACTTGCTAAAACTAGTTCTTACCTTTCACAACTTTTCCTTTGACTTTTCAGTTTGACTGTACCAATACTCTCAACGACCAGCTGCTTGAGAAAGTGACAGTGCAGATGGAGCCATCAGATGCCTACGAAGTGCTATGCTGCATCCCAGCCCCCAGCCTCACTTACAATCAACCAGGAATATGTTACACACTCGTTCGTTTGCCTGATGATGATCCTACAGCAGGTACTGACCCGCAGAGGAGCGGGAATACTTCCATGATTAAGAATGCATTCCCACTTGAGTTCTTAAAAAATATTTGGGTTGAAGAGTATGGTTCTTTCCCGGAATTTCATGATAATGATTACATGGAGAGCTAGTTTTAAAACTGGTTATGCTATGGGAATGCTCATTTTAACACTAAGTCTTTGAGTAAAATTTGCTGGATATTTAATTTGGAAAGAGAAATTGCATGCATGTGGTGGTAGCTCAAAGAAGAAGTGAGGCTTTCTGTTGGAACAATGCAGCTGCTAGTGAGGGTTCAAATATCTAATGTCTCCCATGTAGGATCATGGCCTACTTCTCCCTGATGTTTCTTTCGAAGGCAGCTTAAAGACTTGGCTTTGTAGTAGATCCTTAGCATTTTAGGAGAGATATCCATTTTTAAGGGCCTGACAGCCTAAGGCTGGCATCTGTAAGCACTTCCCAGTGTGGGTTAGCCGATCATTGTGTGTCCATGGTTGACAAAGGCTTTGTCATTTTCTACTTGACCTAAGAACAGTAATTTCAGAGAGGTGATTAAAACGGTTGCTTTGTGGTGGACATGGGGAGGGAATAGTCCCTGAAAGAAAGCCAGCTGGTAGTGCCAGCCGTAGACTGGCAGAGATGGGGACTTGAGAAGGTCTTGTGATCTACCTCTTGTGAATGTCAAGGATCTGCTGACCTTGGTTTCTTTTCCCCATTTGCCCACCTGCGGGCTTCTCCCCGCCCCCATGTTCCCAGGAGAGTAGTCACAGCTGTTCCCCAGTTTTCACAGAAAGAAGCACACATACCACATTCATGTTTTGAACAATTTTTACTACTTACTAGTAAGTACAGGAAAAACAGATAGGGGCTAACAAAATTAACAAGTATCAGGGAAGTTACAGAGTCACAAGAGATCATAAAAGTACTAGCAAATAGTTATCTCTGGTCATCATTCAGTTACAGTCGGGGCTTAGCCTGCTTGCTTTTGGCCCCTCTCCCAACTCCCTTCTGCGATGTTGCTTCCTGGGAGTCCCTGCCCAGTCTTATCTGTGTTGGATGATAGACCAGGCTACTCAGACTCTAGCACGAGGTAGATTCAAGTTGGCACCATTGCTGGGTCTGAATCCCAGGTTGTTCCCTCGGGCCCTAGGCTGAACTGCACTCTTCCTCTGCAGCCACCCTGGATCCATAACACCCTGGGTAGGAAGGCACTTTCCTGTCTGGCCTCCAGTATTTCTCCTCTGAGCTTTAAGCCATCCTGTGTTGACCTTAATTACCTCCCTTGTCCCTTTATGAGGTTTCTTCAGTTCCATTTCCCTACAGTTTTACTTCCTCTCCTGGTCTGCTTTTCTCTCTGGTTAGCTTTGTCTGAAGTATGTCCACTAGCCAGTAGTTAAGCTGGCTGTACTCTTGAGTGAAGCTAGTTTGATTGACCCTTGTCCCAAGCTACTCTGTCGGGCCCTAGTCTTTCTCCATCATCCTGGGAGATTCTGTGTGTTACCAGTTGCTTCAGTCGCCCTCCCTCCTGCTTTCAGAGTTCTGCCCCTTGTTGCTTCTCACTGAATCTCACCACCTCTCCCAGAGGAAAGGGACGTGCTGAGCCCGCTGACCAATCAAGCTCTGCCCACTGAGAGTGCAGCGCCTCCCGTTTCCCCGGGTTCCCTTTGGTGACTGATGACTCAGGTGCCTCACATGCCAGGGAGTGGTCTTAACAAAATGCAATAAGTACAGTTTTACAATATCAAAATACATAAAACAGCAAATATCGAAATTACAGAAATGACATATAACACAGGGAAAAAAAACCAACAGAAAACATTTCCACCAAGAAAGGAAAAAAGGAGAGGTTTTTTTCACCTCTCTTTACCATGGGGTACATTTCATAGATTTTACAGATTAGCCCAGAGGTTTCAACCTTTGGTCTGCTAGCTGTGGACTCTTTTGATTGTTGGATGATTTGTTGTTAGATTTTTGTTATAAAAATGTGACATTTGGAAAATTTTCTTTTTTGTTAAACTCAAAGGGTTTCCTGGTCAGTGTTAAAATTTAGTTACAAACTCGTGTCATTGCATCTTGGAGAAATGAAATGGAATTTTGTCTCGATGCTTGGACTTTCAAGATTGTGTTAGTAGTCTTTTTATATCTGATCCATCATACACCTGCTTAAAAACGAACTCCTTCCTGTTCTTCAGTCTTTGCCAAAATTGTGAATCTCTGACCAATGCAGTCTTTGCTGTACAACAGGGAGACATGAACTACCAGGGCATAGATGGTAAGAAGGCAGCCTGCTCTCCACCTCCCTTTGCTGCAGTTTCCCATCTCAGACATTCCATGTTTTACCCGTCCCCTCAAGACCTCAACAGTCCCTCTTCTGGCCTCATCTCAGAAGAGAAATTTTCCTTAAATCATGGGGAAAAAAATACGTAAGTAAGTAGTTGTGATCCCAGGTTGAACTTTAAAACACTAAATAGCCTAATAGAAAAGCATATAGGTTTTGAAGACAGATCGGGATTTGAATCCTGACTCTGCTCCCTCCCGTGTGATGGTGAGTGTGTTTGATCTTTGTGAGCCCCTCCAGGCTGCTGTCCTGACGGAATGGAATGAAGTGAGTGAGGTGCATGTGCTTACTGCAGTGCCAGACTCACAGGAAACCCTCAATAAATGGGAGCTAGTAGTTTTTCACTGCTGAAACGGTCCACTTTCTCCCTTTACCATCTCTAAAACCAAGTCTTATGCTGGTTCAGAAGACACACACCCTCCAATCTTCTTCAGAAAGGAGTTCTACCAATTATTCTCTCCTTTCCTGTATTTTCAAACTTTTCCATTTCTCTAGCTTTCCCCTTTTATAACTGAACAAAAATCTACCCCGTTAGAAAAAAGCTTGCTTTGACCCAACATCAAGATCATACCTCCTTTTCTCAAATCATGGGAATTGCCTTGAAAGAATAGTTGACATCAAAGGTCTCGATCTAATTAGTCCTATTCGTTACTTTTGTCCTCCAAGAATCACTCCTTTACTCACAAATTTCTAAAAAGCCTTTGGAGCAGCACTCCTCCTTAGAGTCCATTCTCAGCAACGTCTTTCCTCTAAGGAAGGACTGCACTGTTAGAGTGTGTCTTATATTTGGAACACTCTACCAGTGTTTCTCCACTTTGCACCTCTGGAATGCCCTCACCTATTCAGTGTTTTGTTATGCTACATTGTCAAACCATTGTAATACCTACACTCCTTTTATTATTGGGCTTTCACATCATTTTTCTCATTTTCTGGAACCTTAACTAAAAGAATTCATTTTAAGACCACCTTGAATAGAAAACATTCAAAGCAAGATCAAGTTTAACAGTACACAAATGTGAGTTTCTTTCCCCTGTTTTTCCTTATAGATACTACTTGCCATATCACAATTCATAGCTTTCATATATAATTCAATTTTCAATTTTCTGCCTATAATTCTTTCAATCTCCATCTTAACAAAAGTCTCATAGCATCAGGTTAAGACTGCTTCTCTGAATCTGTACTCCCCTGTCCATGTTCTCTCCAGTATTAACCCTATTTGCTCCCGACATTCTGTACCGAATCCACAACTCCAGTTAAGGACCTTTGAACTCTGGCTGACCTCCATGCACTCACTGAGATCCATATTGACACCCCTGATAAAATTTGGCATTCTTCCAAGCTAAGCATCCCATCTGAATTTATTCACATATGAGGGTGGGGGAAGCAGGATTGGTGGAAAATACTTCCCAGCCCCCATGTCCTCTGTTTTTATCACTAGAGTTTTTCCATAGGCCTTAAAAAAAAAAAACAAACCAAAAAACACCACCACCATCTCTTCCATTTGACTCGCTTTGAGAACTGCCAGGATTCCAGGTCTGAGACCTCCTTGTTCACCAGCTCATTCACCTCAAACCCAGTCTTCCCTCAGGCACACTCACATCTGTATCCTGCCCTCCGGATGCACTTGTAACTCAAATTTTCATCCTCTCTGCTGCTCCCTTTTTATCCTATTGTCAGTGGTATCAGTGATCTCTGTTGGTGCCATTCCCAAACAGATCCTCTCTTCTGAGTGCAGTTTAAATGCATCATATCCAGTCATTTCCTCATTTGCCCACTTCTGCCTTGAAGCAGCATCCTGCCTCGAGTGTACAGCCCATGCTTTCGCTGCCATCTCTGTGCCATTCACGCGGATGCAGCAGTCCTCTGTGCACATGTGTGCGCTCCCTCCTTGACCAGCTCTCAGTGCGCCAAACATTGCCATCCTCTTGATTTCCAGCTCACTGTACGGTGTCCACTGGCTTTCAGAAGTATAGACTTTCTAACATCTGCAGCTGTCCTCAGTTTGGAACTTCTACTCCACTTGGACCTTTTCTTCGTTGGCCCCCTTACCAACTATAAATCCCTCACAAATTCATAAGGTTCCCTCCCAACTCAGACCCCACCTACTTCCCTCTGATGTCTGCCTGCCACTGACTCTGTACACACTTGAGGCAACAGAATGGTGCATAGCCACTCCTGGGTGTTTCGTCTCATTTCTGTGTTGAAGAGACACTCACATATCCATCTCATATCTACCCATACATCCCTACCATCTCCGTGCCAGTCACTGGGTCCAGCAGTCTTTTTATGAATACATAATCCGTCTTCACCTGCTCTCACTGCTCCCACCATCTCCAGCTTCTTTGTTCCCAGCCCACTGTACCGAACCATTTGGCTGTCTCAATTCACATCCTGCCTTTTCCGTACTGCCATTCTGGTGACAGTCATTTTTTCTTTCACGATCTCTCTGACCTTTCATCCCCTGAAATGCCCATTCATTCCCATGCCTGTCTCCAACCTTTGCAAGGTGCCAGAACTTCAACAACTCCAATCTGGTTGGGCCTCATCCCCCTCTCATTCGCTCCATGTATACCTTACTCACGCAATAATACCCTTTTCTCTTCCATTGTCTTCATTGTGCACTTTGGGGAGCAAAGGTCCATTTCCATTCCCTCCCTTGTTTCTTGGCCATGCTTCTCCTAGCAAATGCATTCTTCAAACTTCTTAACAAGCCTCTCAGCCTCTGGGCTCCATCATCTGCTCTTCCCCATTCTTCTAATCCTTTGGACCACTTCTCGACTTTCCTTCTCTTCTGTG